ATCATCTTTTCGGTCCCTCAGTCATCGGTTCAAGTTCTTCAGTCACTCTTTCACTCCGCCTTCTTCTTTTATCTCTCAGTCACCATCTCACGGTTTTTCAGTCACTTTCTTTCCTTTCCTGTGTCCTTCAGTCACTCTTTCTTCCTCCTCCTGTGTCCTTCAGTCACTCTCTCAGTTTCTTTTCTCCCTCTTTCTCTTTCAGTCACCTTTCAGTTCTTCAGTCTCCCTCTCTTCCCATATCCTTTGTATTTCTTTCATTCCATTAGCTACTGTTTCGTGATTTCGGTGTCCTCCATTTCCCCGTTGTTCCAGTCAGGTTTTGTATCTCCCTTTTCTTTAATTTATCAAGTTCTTATTTCTCATGCCTGTGAAAAAAAACAACTGAAATTCAAACTTGAGAAAAAAAAAAAAAAAAATTATCCTGAACTTAATAAAAATCTTAAACTTTAGCTCAAACTTCGTACCAAAAACCTCAAGCTCAAAACCTTAAACCTCAAACTTTAAACCCTAAACCTTAGTCAAACTTTAAACCTTAAACCTTAATCAAACTTTAAACCTTAAACCTTAATTAAACTTTAAACCTTAAACCTTAATTAAGGCATAAACGTTAAACCTTAATTAAGGCATAAACGTTAAACCTTAATTAAACCTTAAACCTCAACCTTCTTTCTTAAGTCTTTCCGCATATACAGTCACTTCCCGGGGCTTCCTGAGACACACACACATGTATAGTGCAATTTTCTAACCCAGTCCCCCACGAAGGGATAAAAACACCGACGTCTGGGCGTCAGCATCCATGGCGAGGGAGGGAGGAAGGGAGGATGGGAGGATGGGAGGGAGGAAGGGAGGATGGGAGGATGGGAGGGAGGGAAGGGAGGGAGGATGGAGGGAGGGAGGGAGGATGGATGGATGGGAGGGAGGGAAGGGATGGATGGGAGGGAGGGAAAGAGGAAGGGAGGGAAGGAGGGAAAGAGGAAGGGAGGGAGGGAGGGATGGGAGGGAGGGAGGGAGGATGGGAGGTATGGGAAAGAGGAAGGGAGGGATGGAGGGAGGATGGGAGGGAGGGAGGATGGCAAGAAGGGAGGGAGGGAGGGAAGGAGGATGAGAGAGAGAGAGAAAGAGAGAGAGAGAGAGAGAGAGAGAGAGAGGGAGGATGAGAGGAAGGAAGGGTGAGGACCAAGGTAGGTAGGGAGGGAAGGAACGGGAAGGAGAGAAAAAGGGAGGGAAGGCAAGATATAAGAAAAAGGAGAGAGAGAGAGAGAAAGGAAGGGAGACAACGCGAGGAAAGGGAGACACGAAGAGAGAGAGAGAGGAGAAGGAGAAGGAGGGGACTGGCTGGTGGCACATTCCTACACTTCCGCCCGAGAGGTCCTGAGACACTCACGCCCTCACGCCCCCCCCCCCCCCCGCCACAACGTCGCCGCCGCCCTCAGTACGGCCGCATCGGGTTTCCTCGGGTCCCTCCACCCCCCGCTGGGCGACGCCGAGGCACACAACGGGGGAAAACAAAGACAGGGGACGAGGAGGAGGTTGTGGAGGAGAGATAGGAAAAGAGGGGAGGGGGAGGAGGAGGACGATGATAACGAGGAGAGGAAGATGGAGGAGGATAATTATCTCTTCTTCTCTTTTTCCTCTTCTATCTCTTTCTTCCTTTCCTTCGTCAATATGCTGGTAGGGCAGGGGTGAGGGGGAGAGGGAGGAGGAAGGAAGGAGGGAGGGAAGGAGGAAAGAAGGGAGGGAAGGAGGGATGGAGGGAGGGAAGGAAGGAAGGAGGGAGAAAGGGAGGAAGGGAGGGAGAAATATCGTTCGCAAAGATACGCCGAAAATTCAAATTTCCTTTTCCCCTAAAAAGAAAATACAAAAAAAAAAAAAAAAAAAACATAAACAAGCATACCCACAATTACCACATAAAAAAGTACAGGAACACATAATAATAATAATAATAATAATAATAATAATAATAATAATAATAATAATAATAATAATAATAATAATAATAATAATAATGATAATAATAATAATAACATCAACAACAACAAACCGAAACAGAACACATAATAAAACCCACTAAAAACACACAAAAAGCGCAAAAAAAACTAAAAGAACAACACCTGTCCTAAAAATGCAAACGGATCCAGACGCATACGAAAGCTTACAAAAACGTGAACACGAAGAGCCAGGGTAACGCGAGGGAGCGAAGGAGACACACGTGCGAGAGATGTTACCGAATTAGATACAGCTATTAAAAGTAAAACGTGGGTCAGGAATCAGTATATATGTAAAAAAAAAAAAGAAGAAAAAAAAGAGGGAGGGGTGGGGGTAGGGATGAGGGTGGGGGGTGAGGGGGGGGGAAGAGTAAGGAGATAAAGAGATGGGGGAAGACGAAAGGGGTAAGAGAAGGGATAGATGTAATTATAAGGCGACACACGTGGACACTTATTGCTGTCAGGTGTGATATGTTTTTTTTTCCAGACTTTTTTTTAAAATGTTTTTTCCCTCTTTTTTGTATCTTTTAACGGTGAAATTCAAACAAAGAAGATATAATATATGTATCCTTTTGCCGTAATGTCGGTGTGACACATGTGGAGTGAAACATATGTATGCATAAGGATCATTAGAGTACCATTATTAGCATGAATAGCAATAGTGCTAGCAATGATAGTGTTGAAAGTAGAGATGTGAAAATCAACACCAATATAATAATCATGAGAGTCTTTTTATTGTATCTTTAACGAAGAAATAACTGTTGTTAATAAACTATCGAATTTGATTATAATCTTGATAACACTGTTATTGATAATGACGGTGCTAATGGTTATAGTACGTATGAAAATGATGCTAATAATATTACTACTTATATATTTTTTTATAGTGATATTGATAATGGTAATAGTAATATTAACGATGTGCTACTGCGTCTATTGTTGAAATGAATTACAAATGATAATAATAATACCAAAGCTATTCTAATAACATTAATAATGGGGATGCTAAGGACTGTAAACATAGGAATAATACAAATAATATATATGGTTAAAAATGTGATGAGATGGATTATAGTAATAATAAATAGAATGACACTAATAACTTAATCTCAAAAATAATATTTGTACTTATCTAATTAGCAAAATTTACTCCCATATTTAAAAAAAATGTCCATCCGACATTACGAAGACTCGCTACACCGGATATAATTTTCCGGATATCCCCATTGGTTTTCAAAGGGTATTCAATTAAGCGGAGTTCGAGCGAATGATTATGGAATTAATGAATGTTGCGGAAAAGCGGCAATGCGGATATGTAGGTATGTTTCATATTTGCATGATTTTTATTTTGTTTTTGGTGTACTTGTTATTCTTTATTTATATGTTTTTCTATTTTTCATTTGTTTATTCCAATTTTTAAGTTGTTTATAATTGTTATTATTATTATTATTATTACTATTATTATTATTATTATTATTATTGTTATTTCTGTCATTATTGTCAATACTGTTTTTGTTCTTCTTATTATTATTTTTGTTATTATTATTATTATTATTATTATTATTATTATTATTATTATTATTATTATCATTATTATTGTAATGATTATTGATATCAATATTATTATCATTGCTATTGATATTATCATGATTAGTAATATTATCATTATTACTATCATCATTGTTATTACTACTGTTAACAATGTTATTATTAGCATATTTTCTCTTAATGAAGATTAATATGAACATTACATTGACTATAATTACTGCTCATTATTAATCTTTCTCATTCTCAAATATTATCCAGCAATAGACACGCAAAAAAAAAAAAAAAAAGAACACAAAAAAAAAAAAAAATAGCGAAGGACTATACACATCCCTTTTTCACGCAAGGATTATATCTCTTGACAGTTTTGCAGCCCCGCAATTTATCACTCCTCCTTTTCCCTTTCCACCCTTCATCCTCGTCTCTTCCTTCTCTCCCCCTTTTTATTCCGTCCCTTTTCCCACCTCTTTTTACTCACCCTTCGCACTGGGACCACCCTAAGGAACGCCCTTTCATCGCCAGTCTTGCGTGATGTGTTCAGTGCATGTTGGTTAGGTTTCCACAATTTTTTTTATTTGGTTCTCTTCCTTCGTCTTCTAGTTTTTCGTTTTTTCTTCGTCTTTCTCTTCCTTCGTCTTCTAGTTGTTCTTTTCTTATTTTCTTCGTCTTCTAGTTCTTCGTTTTTTCTTCGTCTCCGTCTTCCTCTTCTTCCTTAGTCTTCTAGTTCTTCGCTTTCTTCTTTTAGTCTTTTTCTTCTTTTTTCCTCTTCACCTCTCTCTTCGTTTTCTTCTCCTTTGTCTTCTTCACAGCCTTTTTTTTTCTTTCTAGTCTGCTTCTCTTTTTTTCTTCTTCTTCTTCTATCTCCTCTTCTCCTTCTCCTTTTCTCACTTCTATTCTTTTTCTTCTCCTTCCTCTTCCTCTTCTCCTTCTACTCTTTCTTTTTCTACTTTTCTTCTCCTTACTTCTTCACAAACGCATCTTTCATATCTTCTGAACTTTCTTTATTTTTTTTCTTGTTGTCTCTAGTTCCTCCTTTTTCTGTTTCGCTCAGTTTTCGTTTATTTTTCTTTTCCTCATGTATTTCATGTCTCTTTTCTGTGCCTCTCTCTCTCTCTCTCTCTCTCCCTCTCCCTCTCCCTCTCCCTCTCTCTCTCTCCCCTCCCTCCCTCCCTTCCTCCCTCCCTCCCTCTCTTCCTTCCTTCCCCCCTCCCTCCCTCTCTCTCTCTCTTTCCCTTTCCCTCTCTGTGTGTGTTCCTCTTTGCTTACCCACACCTTCGTACACATCCTCTCCCACCCTTTTCCTCTCACTTTCTCTAAATTGTTGACATGTGGCTCCCCCCCCTCCTCCCCTCCTCTTTCTCCCGGCTCCCTCCCCCTACCCCCTTATCTCCTGCCCCTCCCTTTCAACATCCGTTTAATCTCTGTGGAAATGAAAGTGCATAAAGATGTTTTGTGTGTGTGAATATACGTATATATATATATGTGTATATATATATATATATATATATATATATATACATATATATATATATATATATATATATATATATATATATATATATATACGTATATGTATATATATATACGTATATATGTGTGTGTATGTGTAGTATGTATGTGTGTGTGTGTGTGTGTGTGTGTGTGTGTGTGTGTGTGTGTGTGTGTGTGTGTGTGTGTGTGTGTGTGTGTGTGTGTGTGTATGTGTGTATGTGTGTGTGTGTGTGTGTGTGTGTGTGTGTGTGTGTGTGTGTGTGTGTGTGTGTGTGTATGTGTGTGTGTGTGTGTGTGTACACACACACACATATAGAGGGAGAAGAAGATTTAGGAGAAGAAGAGCAGTAAGAAAAGGAAAAATGAATAAGAAGAAATAGACGCAAAAAAAGGAAGAAGAAAAAGAGGATTTACACGGAAGAAGAAGTAACGGAAGCAAAAGAAGAAGAAAAAGAAATAGACGCAGAAGAAGACAATAATAATAATAATAATAATAATAATAATAATAATAATAATAATAACAATTAAAATAAAAATGATAATAGTAATAACAATAACAATGATAAGCATAAGTAGAACGAGAGGATCACACGGTTTCGGACAAGCTGGTGGGATTTCTATTCCAAGAACAGAAGGATCAGTTACGCGAAATTGCCTTCAGTTTCGGTAGCGATCGGAGTCTTTGTCTGTCTGTCTGTCTTTCTGTTTGTGTCTCTGTCTGTCTGTCTGTTTGTGTCTGTCTGTCTGTCTGTTTGTGTCTCTTTCTGTTTGTTTGTTTGTTTGTGTCTCTTTCTGTCTGTCTGTCTTTGTCTCTTTCTGTCTGTTTGTGTGTCTTTCTGTCTGTCTGTGTCTCTCTCTTTCTATCTGTCTGTGTGTCTCTGTCTGTCTGTCTGTCTGTCTGTCTCTTTCTGTCTGTCTGTGTCTCTCTGTCTGTATGTGTCTCCCTTTCTGTCTGTGTCTCTCTCTTTGTGTCTGTCTGTCTGTCTTTCTTTCTGTCTGTCTTTCTGTCTGTCTGTCTCTGTCTCTCTGTTTGGGTGTGTGTCTGTCTCTGTCTCCGTATTTCTCTGTCTGTCTGTCTGTCTGTCTGTTACTCTATATAATAATTCTTCCTCTCTTTTTGCAGAACGGCTCTTGTTACTTTGTCGCAGTGAAAACGATTTTTTAAACATAAATGCAGCCGTTAACACAACTGCATATTAGCAATAATAAGAAAGATGATGATGATAATAATAATGATAATGATAATGATAATAACGAAGACAATGATAACAGCAACAACGAGAGTTATTAGGTAAGAGTAGCAACCTTTTCCTTATATATATATATATATATATATATATATATATATATATATATATATATATATATATATATATGTATATATGTATATCGAGAGAGAGAGAGAGAGAGAATGAGAAAGGAAGATAGAGATAGATGGAAATAGATAGAAATAGATAGGTAGATAGAGAGAGAGAGAGCGAGAGAGAGAGAGAGAAACAGACTAATAGAGAGAGAGAGAGAGAGAAAGAGAGAGAGAGAGAGAGAGTTTCCCCATTAGCTCTTCTGTGAGCCTTGCATTCACCGCCCTGCCTCACGTGTGTTGCATGCAAGTTGCACTGACCACACAGTGTCCTCGCTGAAGCGTCCTTTTCCCCTTCTTCACAGATGTTGCACAGATCATGCAGGAAAGGGACGGCCTTGTGAGGACACAGTCAACGGGCGTCGCTGTTGCAGGAACCGAAATTAAAAATTAAAAATGTTCTAATACTTTTTCATATTTTCTTTTTTCTCGTCTTTTTTTTTTGTCCACTCTTCTTAAACCTTTTTTCGCTCTTTGTTTTTTTCTTTCTCTTCCTATTACATTTTTTCCCATTTTTCTTTTATTTTTTATTATTAATTACATAATCTTAATCTCTTTTGCCTCCCTTTTTGATTATATATTTCCTTATTTCTTTCTCTCTTTTCTTTACCTCTTTCCCCCCCTCTAATCTTTACTAACATCCATAATTTCTTCGCCTTCCTTTTCCAACTTTTTTTTCTTCTTCTTTTTTTTTTTCTTCTATTCGAGTAGCTTTCCTTCAAACCCCACAAGCTAATGAGATCCCAGGCTTGATTCCCGATAGAGGATTTCTTAGTGCATGCAACGGCGCTTTTTACTTCAAGTCACAATGGGCTTCTTGATGAGACTTCTTCGTGGAGTGAAAGATGTGAGTGGCAAATATTGGATGTATGATGAAGAGGGAGGGAGAGGAGAGGGAGTGAAGGAGGGAGAGGAGAGAAGGGGGGAGAGGAGTGAAGGAGGGAGGGAGGGAGAGGAGAGAAGGAGGGAGGCTGAAGGAGGGAGGGGGTGAGGAGGGAGAGAGGGAGGAAGGGAGGGGGAAGAGGGAGAAGGAGGGAGGCAGAAGGAGGGAGGGGGGGAGAGAGGGAGATAAGGATGGAGGGGAGAGGGAGAGGGAGGGAGGGGGAGAAGGAGGGAGAGAAGGGAGAGAGGAAAGGAGGGAAGAAAGGAGAGAGGGAAGGAAGGGAGAGAGGGATGGAGAGAAGGAGAGGAAGAGAAAGAGGATGGGAGAGAGAGAGAGAGAGGGAGGGAGGGAGGAGGGAGGAGAACGCGAGGAGAAAGGGAGAGAGGGAGAGAAGGAGGGAGGGAGAAAGAGAGAGAGAGGGAGAGAGAGAGAGAGAGAGAGAGAGAGAGAGAGAGAAGAGAGAGAGAGAGAGAGAGAGAGAGAGAGAGAGAGAGAGAGAGAGAGAGAGAGAGAGAGAGAGAGAGAGAGAGAGAGAGAGAGAGAGAGAGGTGAAGAGAAGAGAAAGAGAGGGGCGAGGGAGAGAGAGAGAAAGAGAGGGAGGGGTTTAAAAAAAAAATAGACAGTCAAAAAGGCAGCTTAAAAACGAGAGAGAAAGAGAAACAAACATAAAACGAGAGAAATGCAAAAAAAAAAAAGAAAGAGAGAAAGAGAGAAAGAGAGAAAGAGAGAGACAGAGAGACAGAGTTCTCAAAATCCCAAGCCGATAAGAACTGTACCCGTTGTAACTGATAAGGCAAAGAGATAAGGAAGATTGAAATTAATAACGATTTCTAGGAAGAGATTAGCCTCCTATTAAAAAAAAAAAAACTTCCGATTGAACAGGTATCTGTCGCGTTCAGATGAAACACGTGTTTTAGTAGGAAGATGGAAGAGGAAGGAAGATAGGAGAATGATGGAGAAGAAGAAGAGAGAGAAGAAGAAAGGGAAAAGGAGAAGAGAGAAGGGAGATGATGGAAGAGGAAGGAAGATAGGAGAATGAAGAAGAAGAAGAAGAAAGGGAAAAGGAGAAGAGAAAAGGGAGATGATGGAAGAGGTAGGAAGATAGGAGAATGATGGAGAAGAAGAAGAAGAAGAAGAAAGGGAAAAGGAGAAGAGAAAAGGGAGATGATGGAAGAGGAAGGAAGATAGGAGAATGAAGAAGAAGAAGAAGAAGAAGAAAGGGAAAAGGAGAAGAGAAAAGGGAGATGACGGAAGAGGAAGGAAGATAGGAGAATGATGGAGAAGAAGAAGAGAGAGAAGAAGAAAGGGAAAAGGAGAAGAGAAAAGGGAGATGACGGAAGAGGAAGGAAGATAGGAGAATGAAGAAGAAGAAGAAGAAAGGGAAAAGGAGAAGAGAAAAGGGAGATGATGGAAGAGGACGGAAGATAGGAGAATGATGGAGAAGAAGAAGAGAGAGAAGAAGAAAGGGAAAAGGAGAAGAGAAAAGGGAGATGATGGAAGAGGACGGAAGATAGGAGAATGATGGAGAAGAAGAAGAGAGAGAAGAAGAAAGGGAAAAGGAGAAGAGAGAAGGGAGATGATGGAAGAGGAAGGAAGATAGGAGAATGAAGAAGAAGAAGAAAGGGAAAAGGAGAAGAGAAAAGGGAGATGATGGAAGAGGAAGGAAGATAGGAGAATGATGGAGAAGAAGAAGAAGAAGAAAGGGAAAAGGAGAAGAGAAAAGGGAGATGATGGAAGATGTAGGAAGATAGGAGAATGATGGAGAAGAAGAAGAGAGAGAAGAAGAAAGGGAAAAATGAGAAGAAAAAAGGTAGATGATGGAGAAGAAGAAGAGAGAGAAGAAGAAAGGGAAAAAATAGAAGAGAAAAGGGAGAAGAAGAAGAGAGGGAAGAAGGAGGAAAGAAAAGGGAAAAGAAGAAGAGGTGGAAGAAGGAGGAAGGAAGGAAGTGAGGAAGACGAAGAAGAAGAAGGAAGGAAGGAAATAAAAAGGAGAGAAAAGAGAGAAGAAGAGAGGGAAGAAGGAGGAGAGAAAAGGGAGGAGAATAAAAGGAGACGAATGATAATAGTCATAATAAGAAAGATGAATAAGACGAAAATGAAGAATAAGAAGAGAAAGAAAAACAAGACGAGGAGAAAAGGCCGAAGAGAAAAATGGAGAAAACGCACAAAAGATAAAAAAAAAAACATTCAAACAAACAAGCAAACGAAGGGAAGAGGAAAATAATAATAATAATAAGAAGAAGAAGACAGAAAAGGAAAATGAGAAGATAAACAAACAAGAGAAAGAGGAGAAGATGAAGAAAGAGGCAAATAATTCATTCGAAAAAAAATGTTTACACAAGAAAAAAACAAAAACAAAAAAAACGTAAAAATAAGTAAAGGTTATATGAAAAAAATACACGAAAAAAAGAAAGAAAGGAAGAAAAAAAAGAAGATAAATATTGATATATGAAAAACTTATTAACTAGTAAATAGATATGCGATAGATATTTATTGATGGACGATAGATAGATATTGATAGACGATAGACAGATATTGATAAGCGATAGACAGATATTGAGAGACGATAGATAAATACTGATATACGATAGATAGATATTGATATGCGATAGACATATATTGATAGACGATAGTTAAATATTGATAGACAATAGATAGATATTGATATGCGATAGATAAATATTGATATACTATAAATAGATATTGATACATTATTAAGAAATAATAATATGTAATAGATAAATACATCAGTGATCAAATAAACTTGATTGAAGAAAAGACGAAACTTGATAGACCTTATCTGCTTGTGAAAACGTATCCTTGTAATTTAGAAAGGAGGAAAAAATTTCTTTGAACGCGACTGAGGAAACAAATCGCTGTTTATCTTGAGAATCAATAAATCAAATGCGTCAAAAAGAAAATGAATTTACTGTGTCTTTTCCTTTTGGTCTAATTCTCTGTCTTTCTTTCTCCTTTTTTCTCTGTCTTTCTCCAATTCTCTATTTTTATATATGTTTTTTTTGTTTTTTTGTTTTCTTTCTCTTTCTCTTTATCTCTCTCTCACTTTCTCTCTCTCTCTCTCTCTTTTTCTCTTTCTCACTTTATTTCTTCCTGTCTCTTCTCTTTTTCTTTCTCTCTTTTATCTTTCTTTCTCTTCCTGCTTCGCACTTTCTATCTCACTTCTCGTTTTATCTTTAGCTTTTTCCTATTTCAATTCTATCTCTGTCTTCTTATTTTTCTTTCTGTTCTCTGTTTCCCACTCTTTCCATCTGTCTCTGTCTTTCTATCAGACTGTCTCTCTATCTATCTCAATCTCTTTCTCTTTCTCTCTCTCTCTCTCTCTCTCTCTCTCTCTCTCTCTCTCTCTCTCTCTCTCTCTCTCTCTCTCTCTCTCTCTCTCTCTCTCTCTCTCTCTCTCTCTCTCTCTCTCTCTCTCTCTCTCTCTCTCTCTCTCTCTCTCTCTCTCTCTCTCTCTCTCTCTCTCTCTCTCTCTCTCTCTCTCTCTCTCTCTCTCTCTCTCTCTCTCTCTCTCTCTCTCCATCTCTCTCTCTCTCTCCCTTCTCCTTTTTGGTCCCTTTTTATTATTTCTAATGACGGATTGTGTGTCATTTTTTTCTTTTCATTTCTTTATATTTTCTCTTTTTTTTGTTTATCTTATTTATTTGTTAAAAAAAAAATCTCATGACTATTGTTTGTCTCTTTTGATTTCGAAAAAGCAAAAAAAAAAAAAAAAACAATGAAAAAAAACAGACAAACAAAACATAGACACAGAACAAACAAGTAAACAACAGCGACACAACGAGAACGAAAACAACAAATTATTTTTCTTTCGTGGAGGGTATTTCCAAGGCCCAGGGGGGGAGGGGGGTGGGTGGAGGGTGAGAGGGGATGTAAAAGAAGGGGAGAGAGGGGGGGGCATGGGGGGATGTTTGAGTTGGGGGGAGGGGGAAGGGGGGAGGGGAATGGGGGAGGGGGATGAGGACAAGAGGATAGGGAAGGGGGTGAGAGGAAGGGGGGAGGGGGGTAGAAGGGAGGGGAGAGAGGGATGGGGGGGATGAGAGTAAGGGAATAGGGATAGGGAGGGGGAGGGGGAGGGAGGATGAGAGCAAGGAGGAGGGGGGGATGTGTTGAAGGGGGAGGGGGGAACGCTTGTGGTGGGGAGGGATAGGGGAGGTTGGGGGTTGGGGGGGTGGAGGAGCTATGGATGTCATAACTTGGGGTTTATTATTTCAATGCAGGACAGGGAGGGGGGAAGGGGAGGGGAGGGGGGAGAGGGGAAGAAGGGGAGGGGGTGAGGGGGGTTATATCACTGTATGCACGTTAGTGTTTGTATCCAGATAAATGAGTAAATAAGTGGATAAAGATAGTAATTGATAAATAGCAGTAATGATGAAGAAAATGGCAATAATCACAATAATGATGATAAGGATAAAGATATAATAATAATGATGATAATGATAGTAATGATAGGGACGATAATGATAATGATAATGATTATGATAAGATATAGTGATAATG